ATTACAATATGCTGTAACCACAGAGATTCCTATAAAAAGTATACAGTCTTCTTAAGGAATTGAAAAGCTGCATGCTGGAGCAGGGAGGTGGAATCACCAACAAGTCGGAGGTGAATACGTTTCAGAGCCGCAAAGTTATTATCTATGGCAAAAAGAGTAGTAGCTGACCTACTAGGCCAGCTCCTCTGCAACCAATGATAATAATCCTGTTCACTCACGAGTCAGTGAATATCAAGCTAAAAGCGTGGGTAACATGGAGTACGGAACTTGAGGTAGACTGTTTCTGCTAGAAATTATTTGCAGTTAAGGAGCTTCCGAAAGATTTGAATGATATGACGTGGGCCAACTATTACAATACAAGTCGGCCAAATAACTTTACTGACAACAATTCACGTATACCTGACGCAATAGAACTTATTTCATAATCGTAGTTAGTAATCGTAGTTCGAAATAAAAGTCAGATGCGGAATGACGAAGCAACAATGGGGCGAATTGTGGGGAGGTACAGTAAAAAATTTAATTGCTTTAGAGATGATTTGACCATTTGAAAGCACTAGCATATATATGACCATGATGCTATACCCTACTCCCGAAATAGATCCTAGGTAAAAGCCCAGGCACGTGTCTCGCCGATATTTCTGCTGTTGCCTAATACGGCAACGGAGGGCTCGGCTCCTCAGTGGGTCGCCCAGCGTCCTCTGTGTGGTTTCTAGTATATGTCCTCCAGATAATAATCAAGAGAATAATTTTGTAAATTATCAAGTTTATGACCTGGAGGTAAGTGACCAAGACATGATTTTTAGGGCCAGACTTGAAATTTAAATATGCGTACAATTTGTTGCGTAGGCGTTCAACAATCGCTCAAGGGACTCATTCGTCCCGTTCTGCCTTAAGGTTCACCTTGGAGCTTTTCAGCGGCCGAACAACGGCTAGTAGTATTGACGGGGGAGAGGTACCGACAGAAACCAGGCACACCGGATCACCATTACTGGCTTATTAGCCGTCAATAGCCAGACATATCCAACTTCAGGTTGTGCGCCTTCCATGGCTCGAACCCTCGATCAACTCATTAAAAATCCAACATTCTATCCATTGAGTCAGTGGCTCGTGATCTTGCTGGTTTAGGTCGGGAGGTATTAAAATCGGCGCAGAGGCACCCACCGATCGTTTACGGGCAGAAGTCACAGGGCAGACTCTTGTGAAATACACCCGCTTATCCTGCTGATGGTAACGTTTTCAAACTCAAAGTTTTACGAAATTAGTTCTCATACCTCATTCTATCCTGTAGATGTGGCGAACCACCGCACTACTTCAAGGACATTGTTAAAGACTGTTCATGAAGCCTGCGAAAAAACGGTATCAACAGAACAAACGTTCAATAATGTCCACCTCTATTCGCGCAAATATTTCTTAATTGAAACATCGTTTCCCAGGTACAAATTTGAAGACAGCGTATGTAGCAGAATTTAATGGCACCATAAATTTTGCAAGCGCTCATCAGCCGCTTCCAGTCGCTGCATAAACAGAACCATAAATTTCGCGGGCGCTCATCAGCCGCTTCCACTCGCTGCATAAACAGAACAACGAACGAGAAATTACAGAATTGAATTCATACAGAAAAATCGATCCAAAACATCAAGGTCACTTGAGTTAGCCAAGGAGCAAACTGGGTAAAAAAACTTCACCCGTATAACCATAACTAATCTAGATTAAATTTTGTAACACACCGTTGAAAGTAAATGCAAATCATGTAGGCTGTATCAATTAAATATTTTTTTTCTTTACGATCATAAACAGTACGTAGACAAAAATATAATGGTCAAACTTCGACTGAACAATTTTATTTCGAGGAAATGAACATGGTAGACATGCAACTGAATTATCCTTTTGGGATCGACAACCGAATGCAGATATATGCCGAACGAAATTAAGCAGTAACTGTGCAACCACAGTGTTCAGCAGGTACGTGTGGTTATTTTTTAGTCTTTCCCTGAAAGGTTTGCACAAAATATAGGCTAACAGTTTCAGTTCACGATTCATCACAGTAGCCACCACAACCGATGTCACACCGCCGACAAAGTCTTTTATCTCAAGCATTTACAGAAAATGGGTTTTATGGATACTTTGTCGGTGGTTATTCGTTATTCCACGATCCCCACTAACGCAACGGTTTCCCCTCACCGATATACATGCCTTTTTCCCTTATCTTAGCTCCTGCATTACGCAGACTAGGTATTTACCTCTAATTATATAAGCAAGCTATCGCACAACCAGTTTAAGCATACATTTTTTGTAGAACGCATTATCGTGATAAATTGACAAAATTTTCCAAGAAAACTAGCTCCCTCCACCGCCGCGTCGCCTGAATTCATTTGCAAAACAGACGTTGGACATGTGAGCGTAGCCTACTGCCCGCGCTAATGAATTAATTAGCCGTGCAACCCAGCCACATCCTCCTTCGAGGAATGCTTTTATCCGCACGCTACACCAGTTTAGAGGTGGGTGCAAAACTTTCCGGATAATTAGCAGTCAGCGGGAGGGGGATATTGTGCGCGGTAGATAATGGAAAAAAAGTGGAAAGCTGAAATATGTGGAAGCGGAACTACAACAGCCGGTCCACATCGGGGTGGCAATTTAATGTGACCGTGTATGAATTTTGTAAAAAATATCAGAAAATTAAACGACAATAGCTGGTCTATCTTATGAAATACTAGCCAAGGTTCTAGTGTAATTTTTCAGACAACAGTAGTTTACGTAGTGCACCTCATATACCCCTGGTCCCACAATTTTTTTCTATGGAAACGGGGATAAAAGGGGTGTAATATGTGGGCAATTAGGATAGGTAGTGGAATGTACTTTAACAAATGCTATATGCATTTTTATTTTATTTAGAAATGTTGCTGATCTATATATTTAGATTTTCCTAATCTGTACTATCATTTAACGTATTGCGGAAAAAACGATTATCAAAATGCAGATTTCTTGAAATTCCTGATAAAATATAAATGGTGGTTAGGAGGTTGCCTACATCAACCACCTGAGGTTCAGCTTACCATTATGGAGTTAGATACGTAGACTCCGCGGCGCGAAGCACCCCGCACACCTTCAAATTATGTGCGGAACAAATTACTCTCAGCGGCCGCGGGAAACAAATTCAACTTCATTTTTCCACTTTACAATTGCTTCTACAAATATTTTTCCTTGCCTATCTTACTTCTTCACCCCCAAAAACACTATACCCACCGTTTCCGTAAGCCAAAATGCTGGGACTAGTAGTATATGAGGTGCATTGCTTACACCACTTTTGCCGTTTTTTGATTGTTTCAGTGACGTAGTGATACTGATTATCATGTGGCATAATCTCTAGTTATTTCGGTCACGAAAGGATGTTGTCTTTTAAATGATCTTCCTTCCAACCTTCTTCTGAAACTATGCTCAACCCAATAGAAGTAAAATGACTTAGTAAGAATTTTTCACATTGATCTTGAATACCCTTATCAATGCAAATATATGCTAAGGAAAACATGAAGAAATATATATTGCTCGTTCAGTAGCAAAAAATACGTCTTCTTCCATTCTTAACCTAATGGAATACTGAAGACATGTTGATATTATTCCATTTTTGAAGACCGTGAAGTTTCGCTTCGTGGACTATCGTGTCTGTTCGTTTAGGTATGTCAAATGCGAAGAACATACCATGGTCCAGATCTACTGTCGCATTAATTATCCTTATATAACACCTAGTTACGAACCTACATAAATTTATGATAACCCTTGAACTGAAAATATATAGCATGTATTTAGGAGACCCCCAATAAAATTGCAGCATTTATTTGGCAATTGGAAATGTTTTTTAATCGAAAGATATTAGTTCTTTAGGAGTTCCGCATACTTAATGCTTAGTGTCTTCTTCGTAATATAATATGACTTTTTAATAACACTGAGCTATGTATGATCTTCCTTACGCAAAACTAAAGATCATGTTTGTCTGGAAACTCTGGGAGAATTCGCAACTGTCGTTCGGTTTCAAAGTCATTCAGAAATTGAGAAAAGTGTTAAAACCAAGAGATATAAAATTATCGAGTATCATAGTTAAAGTAGGGCCAATTTCACATCAAAAAGATGCATGAGAGAACATTTTTATCCTTACTTCCTTCAAAACATATTTGACTTTAAATAGACATGAAAATTCGATGTGAATAATCCGTACTATTTCAGAAGTCATTTTTACAGAGTGTGGTTTTCCAACAGGCAAAAACGAAGTTCACTTGCAGATCAGCATGCTCGCGTAGCTGCAAAATTCTCGGATAATGCTGCAGGATATGCAATCGTACAACCACCTATAAAAAAACCCTTGCTAGTCAAAACCAACTTTCAGTTTCCTGGTCAACAAACCAGTTACTATATTTAAGTGAGATGATGATGATGATGTATTTAGCAACATGACGGCTAATTTCCCAGACAAAGTAATCTGACAGATGTTAGCTGGACCCCATTTCAGCCACACCCAGAATCACGCTCTAAATGTCCGGTTGCTGATTGTCTAGCAAGGAAACTCATTTTTTGCATTCAAGGGAACATGACACGCCCATTTACCGTGGGTAATATGGTGGGAATTATCATCAAGTTAGACAGCGGAAATAAAGAAATAATTTGTGATGCTAGTCTAACTAATCATGCTGTACACGAAACAAAAAACATGTGCAGTATATGGCGTGTGAGTTTGTTAGTAAATAAATATTAATTTGCCTAATCCCAAATTATTCGAGTCAAATAACGACAGCGGCTATTGAAGGACCCTATTTCCTATCGCATGCATAAACTATACTCTGTAAAAGATAACTACTAATGTAGTATGTATTTTCTTCATTGTTTCACGATTCCTATCTTAATCCACGTGTATAAAAATATATTCATTCTGATACCCATTTGATGGCCAATTACGTAGAAATTCAAATTTCCTGCTTGCAAAACAGGCACTCTGCAGTTTTAAAAAATCGATCAATTTCTGAAAAATGTTGAACGCGGACTATCGTCGCACGTGCATTCAGGAGTTCCAAATTATCTGATGGTTATATTCCGTCCAAGGAAAATTACACATTTTTTTAGCTAGTGGAAGAAGGAGATGAAGTACTCAGGAAATTTTTTAATGAATGTGGACCAGGTCGCATACCTTATAAGCACTGTTGGTAAATGGGCATATAAAATGCTTCAAGAATGGACATTTCACGGTCTTAAAAAATTCATAATTATAAACATTTTTGAAACCCTAAGATGCCCTTTCATCAAGGATGAAATTTAAGAAGGAGGTGAGTTGCCAGTAAATTTGTGTGGGTAAGGTTATTTTTGTGCATACTATCCATAAACTGTGTTTGAATTTATATAGGCATAGAAAATCAATGACAACAAATGCATCCTACTCAAGTATTTCGTTCTTTTCCTATTGTTCTGCACGCAGACGACCGAAAAAATGCTTCATCAAATGCCGAAAATCTGACATAACTGAAGCACCTTAGGATTTTTCTGAAAGATAATTAATACGTCAACCCTACTAAAGTAGTATGTTTTTCAATCGAGAACAAATTTATTAATTTCGAGCAACGTTTCATTACTGTGTTGTTTAATGTGGATCAAGAGACTCTTTTAGGTCCTTTACAAAATGTAGTCATGTATTTCGAAGACTAAACAGCATGCAGCCTGGAGACTATTAATTAGTGTAAGCATGGGTTTTGTTTTTCAACGTATATATCCCCACTCACGTGACTGAAACTCATGAATGTGTAATTTACTACTTATTGTACGAAATGAATGACATGTTTCTGCATTCATGCCAGGGACAAGGTTTTAATATTTGAGCTTTCAGTTGAACCCAAGTAAGACTAAGACAGCTTGACTAATCGAAGGGTAAAGCCGACTGCTTGCTTTGTGTAAAGTTACTTAAATTTATTTTTCATGCTACTCAATAGTGACACCCGGCACCTGCACAAGACGCTGCGGAGTCCTCCAGAGCGTGCTCCGCCGAAGGGGCGAAGCTTCAGTAGCTTCCTTTTGTATTAGTTTATAATGGTAGCAAAGTTTCGTGGCGTCTACCACTCCCTCTCTTTCTATTTACCCAACTGCCTCCGTTGGCAAGAATTTATGAGCCCAACTCCCAGTGCTACGCTCAACCTCTGCCTTCCGTGACGGCTTTCACATGCGCACCAGTGTCTGTCAACCACAATTGCGTCTGGTCAATCACCTCCCTGACATCTTCCGCGCTCTCACACTTCGGACGCCGTCCTCCGGACTGTGAACACACGCTCGTTCGGCTGCCAACTTCCTCTAACTTCTATACAGAATACACCATTCGTCCCAACCGGCTTCTCATTTATTCTCTTTCTACACGAAACCGGGCCTGGAGGTCATGGGAGTTAGGGTCTTCCCTAGTAATTTTATCCACTGCGATAAGACAAAAGAATTTAGACAGCCGATTATTTGCTC